AGTCACGAAATGGTGACCAAAGCTTGGTCATTTCTCAACCAAAATGGCACCTTGAAGCTTCAAATGGCATGGAGATGGCTCCCACACCACACAACCTCAAAGTCAGCAGCTCTCTCACTCAAAACGAAACCCACAACTCAGAAATGGCTGGACTTTCAACCTCCCAAGGCTAGAGCACACATATACAAGGGACTTTGGTGAAGAAAGTAAGAGAAAAGGTGCTCTCTTGGAGCTTCAATGGAGGAAGATGAAGGTGACAATGGAGGGGAAGGTGGCTGCACTCCAAGGCTCAGAAATTCTCACGTAGAGACAATAGGAACTAACCTAGAAATTTGTGCAAGTGTCTATTTATACCCTCATTAAGTTTTGAACGTCGATATTAGCAATCATAGCTACGCTAATCATTTTAATCTCAAACCTCATATTCTGAACCTAGCCATTTTTCTAAGATTTATCATATTTTTATTTTATTTTTCGCAGCACTTTGCCGGTATGCTCTTTTACGTATTCGGTATCAGTTCTAACGCCAGTTGTTGTTATTTTGACTTCAAACTTGTTATACTAGTCCTAGATATTATTATAGTGATACTGATATATACATACTTTTCATAATTTTCCGGGATACTTCATCAATACGCATTTATACCGTGGAGCAGAACCGGTATCTGCACTTTTCGTCATAAAAGCGACTTTCAACATTAATAATCACTTACTATAATTATTTAAGCCTTCTCATAATTATTAGGGTCAATTATGAAATTATTTCTTTAATCTCATATTTATTTAATCAAATTCCTAAATTAACGGTGCGGGGTCTTACAGAAAGCCATTGGAGAGGAGCTTGAAAACTGAAAACCTAGCTGGAGAAATAGACCATAAAACACAAAACTTCTAACTACAAAGTTGTTTAGAATATCCTCTTTATCAAAACCCATACCCCATTTTCGAATTTGAAGCATTATAGATAGAGAAATCATCCTCTCAAAGCCTAGGTCAAAATTTTGGGATCATGGTTATTTTGGAGTTGTTCAACCATTAGAAGCTTGAAAAACTCTCATCTCTCCATTCTAAGGTGGATTATGGTAAGAAAACTACACTTCTTACATATTTTTATGGATTTTTGACAAATCTAGGGTGTGGTGAATAGTGTTGTGCAAAAATTGTGGGTTAATGCGTTTAATGGTTGTTTTGTGTATACGTTCCTTTGTTAAATGTGTTTAGAAATGGTTATTGATAAAGGAAAAATCATGAACCTATCATTTAACTCACTATGAAAAATTATGGTTTTTGACTATGTGTCAATTTTGAAATTCATGAATGTTGATGGATTGGAAGGATTTTGATGGTGCGTTATTGTATTGTGTGTTGGTATAATGTTGAACCAATTGATATATCGGTGGAGGTGCGCTCATTGGAACCAACCATTGTACATGAACTAAAATCTTGAATTTTACCAAAAAGGTAAGTCATGTTTTATGAGATTATGAGGAGTTCTAGCCAATAGCTTGATATTTATGTGTTGTTGAATGTATGAATGATCACACTTCCATAATTATGCCATAGGTTGCCTTGTGTGGATTGGTTGTGATTGAGGCACTTACAGTGGAAGAAAGCAATTAACAAAACTCTACAACATGTAAATTTTTGGACCTTGGGATTAATCCCTTTGTGTGTTACACCATGCTCCATTAGAGTAGTGATTTTAGTGATATGTTGTGCATCATAGTATCAGATAGTATGATGCATGTTCAGATGAATTATGTTTATGATTAACACATGACGGAATGTATGACAATGTGTATTATATGATAAGTATATCTAGCAAGTAGATTTTTGTATATATGTATGCATTACTTTCTTTTGGGGGTAGCAGCCTATGTGATGAAGCAGAAGTATCTTGGAAGTAATTGCATGTATGGACTTTCCTTGAATATAGCCTGGTGGGGTTTTTCTTGGGGTTGGATTCCTATGGGACGTAGCAGAAGTCTCATGAAAGGACCATGATAGACACTATAGGAACTTACCTTAGAAGAAGTAGAATTCCTTGGGGTTTAATTCCTATGAGATGTAGCATAAGTTTGATGAAAGTTCCAACATATATGAAATGATGTATGATATATTATGTATGTTATGAGTATATTTATGTATGTATGTATGTATGTAATTGCTTTCCTTGGACGTAGCAGAAGTCCTTGGGTCTTGATGCTTAGGAGATGCAGCAGAAGTCTTTTGAAAATAGTACATGTATGGACTTTCCTTGGACATAGCAGAAGTCCTTGGGGTTTAATTCCTATGAAACAAAGCAGAATTTTCATGAAAGGACCATACCAGAAACATAAGACAAAGTGGAAGTCTTATGTAATGATTTTACAAGAAAACAATAGGAACTTCCCTTGAAGCCAGCTTATAAGGAACTCCTGGGGGGTAGCAACCTTAAAGACACAACCTTTAGTTATATCTCTTGGAAGTTCCTTAGTTATAAATAAGATATGATAAGATGAATAAGGTGAGATGATGTACGATATTAAAAGTACATTGTAAGAAAGGAACTTCCCTTGGAGCTAGTCGATAAGGAACTCATTGGGATCTCTTAGAAGTTCCATACTATCAGAATAGATAGAATGATAAAATAGTGATGACAAAATAGTTATAATATAACTATCCTTAAGAGATAGAATAGTTATGACATAACATAATAGAATGACAGAACAATATAGAAAAGACAGAATAAAACAGACATAATATGACAGATAAGATAGATATGGCAGAGTAGCTATAAAGAATAACGATGACAAAATAGCTATGACTAAAGAAGATATGATGTATGTATGCTATGTTTGTTTACTTTTGATGCATATAAAGTGAACTATAGGGTGAAGTGATCCTCCAAGGACCCTTCGTTTACTGAGATTTTTCTCTCACCCCGTGTTAGGGATATCATTTTAGGTACCAACAATGATGGTGTTGGAGCATCACATGGCAAAAGGCCATCATGGAGCATGACCGTATAACATTAGATTATGATTCCTGTTTTGATTTATATGTAATCATATGTTAGAAGAATTCACATGATGATGTATTATGAAGCCTAGATGTGGGGTATATGTATTTTGACATAGTTTCTATGATGTATATTTTCTTAGAAAGAAATGTATATGGACTATGTATTTGAACAATTCAAGCATGATAGGTTTATGTTCAAAAGAATATGAATATGTCAGTTTCAAGTTGAAAGATGTTTATGTAATAGAGATATCGAAGTATGTAAATGAGTACTATATTGAGATATTACTTGAGATGAAAGTGCTAGGTGAATTTTATGAGGCATGAATCATGAATGAAGCATAATGTTTGAGTATGAATGTATCAAAGATATAAAATGAAGATATGTTATGTTTAGATTTCATGAAAAGAATAGCTTGGAGCTTAAGATTTATATATGTTATGAAAAACTTCAAGGAAATGTGATGTGCCTCTATGTATTGGTTAAAGAATTACCAAACATGTCAATTGGGTACCATTAGTGGGATGGAACTGTCCCTAGATAGCTTGCAACTCGAAATGGATCATTTTTTATCTTTAGGAGCACGCTAAAGCGCCCCAAGAGCGCTAAGTGGCCTATAAATGCCAATTTCCTTGGTTCTTGAGCCCTAAAGCGCGCTACGACGTGCTACCAGAAAGAAAAATAGGCTCGACGAGTGCGTTGCTAGAGTTTACAGGAACATGTCATAGTGAAACAAGCATAACTTGATCTACAGTGCTACAAATTGAGTGAGGTTTAGGGTTTAGGATATAGGGTTTAGGCTACAAGGGGTCTGTGCTTGGCATCATAGTAGCTCTTCTGACAGCTTTGGACTTTCTTCAGCCTATCTCTGATCATCTCAATCTTCTCTGTAGTCTCTTGGACCAAGTCTGGCCCTAATAACTGCCTTTCTCCAATCTCCGTCCAACAAGTAGGTGCTCTACACCTACGGTCATACACGGCCTGATAAGGAGCCATGCCCAAACTGGTATAATAACTGTTGTTGTAGGAGAACTCAACCAGTGGCAGGTACTTATCCCAAGCATTACCCTACTCAAGCACACATGCTCTCAGCATATCCTCTAGTGTCTAAACGGTCCTCTTTGTCTGACCATCTCTCTGCGGGTGATATGCAGTACTTAATCTCAATTGCGTACCAAAGGCCTCATGTAATGCTTCCCAGAAGCGTGAAGTAAACTTCGGATCCCGATCACTGACTATGCTTTCGGGAATGCCATGAAGCTTCACAATCTCTCTGACATATAGTCTGGCCAGCTGCTCTCCGTTGAGAAAGTCATCTTGACTGGAATAAAGTGGGCAGATTTAGTCAATCTATCATCCACAACCCATATAGAATCAAATCCAGCATGGCTTCTCGGTAATCCGACAACAACGTCCATGGATATACTCGTCCACTTCCACTCCGGAATCTCTAATGGCTGTAACAAACACGAAGGCTTCTGATGCTCAATTTTCACCTTCTGACAAATAAGGCACTTATTCACAAACTAGGCTATGTCTTTCTTCATCCCAAACCACCAAAAGTTCCGCTTAAAATCTTGCTACATCTTGGTTGCACCTGGGTGGATGGTGTACTTACCCATGTGTCCCTCTGTCAACACTTATTCTACCATAGGCCCCTTCGGAACAATTACCGATCTTTGTAGTATTTCTCATTAGCAATATCGGTTAACACAAAATCTTACCCTTTCATCATTTGAATCCCTTCATCAAGAACTTGGGCCGCTTTAACTCTCTCTAACAGTGAATTTCGGACTTCAACTGTAGTCATGAAATATGAAGTCTCAAGTGGTGTCACGAAAATTCTCAAATCCCTAAAATTCTCAATCAAGTCATACTCTGCAATCATCATGCTAGCCACACCTGTGGTCTTTCTGCTCAAGGCATCAACCACTACATTCGCCTTCCCAGGGTGATACTAAAGATCAAACTCATAATCCTTCAGAAATTTCATCCATCACCTTTGCCTCATATTAAGCTCTTTTTGATCGAACAAGTACTTCAAGCTTTTGTGATCACTATAAACTGTGAAGGTAGCACCATACAAGAAGTGTCTCCATATCTTCAAGGTAAAAACCACAGCTGCTAACTCAAGATCATGAGTAGGGTAGTTCTCTTCATGAGGTCTCAACTGTCTAGAAGCATAGGCCACTACCTTTCGCTCCTGCATCAACACGCACCCTAATCCATACTTGGATGCATCACAATAGATCTCAAATCTCTCTTCCTGGTCAGGAAGAATCAAAACTGGTGTGGTAGTCAACTTATCTTTCAATTCTTGAAAGCTCACATCACACCCAAGGGTCCATGCAAATGGCACCCCCTTTCGGGTTAATCTAGTCAATGATAAGGCAATTATGGAGAATCCATTAATAAACCGCCTGTAGTATCCTACTAAACCTAGAAAACTTCGGACTTCAGTAACATTCTTGGGTCTCTCCCAATCCAACACCGCTTCTATTTTACTCGGATCAACCGCCACTCCAGCAGATGAAATGACGTGACCAAGAAACTAAATCCCATGCAGCCAGAACTCACTTTTGGATGGTTTGACATATAACTGATGCTCCCTCAAGATTTGCAAGACTATCCTCAAATGCTCAATATGCTCTTCCTTGCTCTTGGAATAAATTTGAATATCATCAATAAAAACCACAACGAACTGATCTAAGTATGGTTTAAAGATTCGATTCATATAGCTCATGAATATGGCTGGGACTTTTGTAAGGCCAAATGGGATCACAAAGTACTCATAGTGCCCATATCTAGATCGAAAAGTCGTCTTCAGAATATCTTCGGTTTTTACCTGGATCTGGTGATATCCGGAACGAAGGTTGATCTTGGAAAATACTGAAGCACCTCTGAGCTGATCCAACAAATCATCAATGCGCGATAGAGGATACTTGTTCTTTACTGTCACTTTCTTTAACTATCGGTAATCAGTGTATAACCTCATAGTCCCATCTTTCTTCATAAAAATGACAGGTGCATCCCAAGGAGATACACTCGGTCTGATAAAGTTCTTGTTGGATAATTCTTCTAACTTCTTCTTCAGCTCTGGTAGCTCCACTGGTGACATCTTGTATGGAGCCAATGAGATAGGCCCCACACCAGGTACTAAGTCGATTGAGAATTCAATCTCTCTCTCAGGTGGAAAATGAGGAATTTCTTCCGGAAATACATCTTCAAACTTGCACACAACCAGAATATTAGCAGTAGGTTCTTTGGAGGCTCCTACAAGTCCTCCCAGGATAATGTATCCTGCATCTCCCTCATTTAGAGCCATATTTAATTGTGGTGCCATCATGTACAAACAGTCCGGCTTCTCTCCTTTTTCAGAGAAGAAAATCCTTCTGCTACAACAATCAAGCATCACACCATATCAGACCAACCAATCCATGCCCAGGATAATGTGTAGATTCTTGCCCTCAAGCACTATCAAATCCACCATATATTCTTCTTGCTCGAATATGAATCTGACTTCTTTGCACTTCAAAGAAGTAGAAACAATGTCTCTGGTGGTAGTCTTCACTACCATGGGAGGCATGAACTCATGAATAGGCAAATGCAACCTAGTAGCAACAAATCCCGATATGAAAAAGTGGGTAGCTCCTGAATCAAACATAGCATCAAAAGCATATCCTCTGATAAGAATGGTACCTCGGATCAAGTTTGGAGACCTCTCGACCTTCTGTTGTGTCATCACATATAATCTGGCATTGGTGGGTACAGGAGACTCTTCAATGACCATCGGAGTCAGAACAGTCTGGATAGGAACTACCTGGATAGATGCTACCTGCCCCTTCCTCTAAGGGCACTCCCTAGAGAAATGTCCAGCCTGCCCACAACTGAAACAAACATTCTGCCCAAGTCTACAAACACCTGGATGTACCTTCCCACACTTGGCACAAGTCGGGATCTTCCTTACACCAGGCCTGCCGCTTCCATTCTTCACAAAGGGAGTCTTCTTAAACTTGTTACTCTGTTGTACCTGCAAACATTTTCCCTTACCCTTCCAAGGCATAGTCCTCCCACTGAAGCTCTTCCCAGCTGCTTCCTTACCTCTGGTACGACAGTATTCCTGAATATCCTGGCATTGCTTAATCAATTCCACAAAGTCTCTGGTGTAATGGTCAGCCAGCTTATCAACTATCATACCGTTCAAGCCCTTTTTAAACCTGAAGGCTTTGTCTTCTGGAGTGAGAGGAGCTCTACCATAGCAAGAATACTTTGCTAATCTGTTGAACTTGCTCAGATACTCATCCACTGTCATGCCTCCCTGTCTGAGGTCTTCAAATTCAATTCTTTTCTTTTCCCTATATTCTTCAGGGAAGTATTTCATTAGAAAATGCCTCTCAAAAACTGGCCAAGTAATGGCATACCCATGGCACTCAAGTGGGTGCCTGACATTGTTCCACCAATCTGTTGCGTCTGCTTGTAACATATACACAGTATACAGAAACTTCGTGTTGGCATCACACTCCATAACCTGAAAAATACGCTCCATCTCCATGAGCCACTCAAGTCCTGCAATGGGGACTCTTCCACCTTTGTAGTGAGGTGGGGAATGCTTCATGAAAGCATTCAACATACGCTCTCTGGTCTCTCGGTCAAACATAGGGGGCCCTACTGACCAAGTAATCTATATTACGGCTGCCTCTCGCGTCCCCCATAGATGAATGCCTCTGCCTCCTGGTGGGCCTCTCCTGTCCCTCCCTGCCTCAGCACGACAGGCTCAAGAATCGGTATGGGATCAACAACACATGCAGTCTGCTGCTGCACAGGTGGTGTAACTGGCGGTGGAGGAGGTGGTGGATGTTTGCCTCGTATCTCTGTCAGCAGTAGTCTCATCATCTCTGCATTCGCCAATTTGTTTTGGGCTATCAATTCTTGATTAGCCCTTCTCATACGCTCCTTATCCAACTCACGAGCCTCTTCAATTCTTTTCAAATCAGCCTCCCTGATTTGATTCAGGGTCTGCTGTAATGCTGCTATAGCGGCAACAATAGGATTAGGAGGCGGGTTTTGAGTTAGCTACGCTCAATCCAGTGATAGCATATGCAATATCATGACACTCAAGAGACACTCAATAAACAGTTCTAACACTTAAGCAATACATCAGTGAACGTCTCGGTGAAACTGCTCTGGTACCATAAATGTAACTCCCTGTAGTACTTCGGTTGTTACATACATGATATTTAGCGTACGCAGCGGAAGACTTTATTTTAAAAACATAATAAAGCGTCTTATAAAAGTACGAGTAAACTTTTTCCAAAATATGTTCTAATACAATTTCAAAGCGTTCATCTGTTAAATTGTGTTAGCGTAACATTAACATCTAAGTCTACTAATTAAAAATCATGGGCCATCACTATTTCCCGTTGACCATCCAAATATAACCTCAAGTGTCATTCCTGACGGAGTCTCACGGACAGCATAACGGCTGTATTTCGGATAACTGGGAACATGGGTCCCTCACATACAATAACCTGATAGATATAATAATTAAACAAACCGCTCGTAAGTCCCACACGGAGTGCGATCCCCTCTCAGGGTCAATACAAACAATAAGGCTTCATGCCTAAATAACTGAATACATACATCAAGTTTATATTAATTTCCAAAACGTCTAAGCACCAGTAAATAATCCATGGCTCCAATACTATAGTCATGAGCCTAAATAAATACATAATATAATCTCAACATAAGATAATTAGGCATGTTAATAATTATACATGCCATCACAAAGTCTAATCATAATATAATTAATCAGCATCGTCATCTACTACTCCAAAGCGGGGGCCTTGCCCCTAGAAGCATCTCCACTACTCTGGGTACCTGAAATGATGTCCTCTAACGGGGCCAGTGAGGAATTAGGCGCTAGGCTATTTATGACCTTCGAAGCCTAACCTAACGGGGTGAGATAACACATCTCAGTAAGCTCAAGTTTCATAAAGGATCCTCTAATCCCCTGAGCCCACTTCCTGCATGACAAGTCATATATAAAGCATATAATACAGACATGCAACATAAACATAGCATCATCATATGATCCTTGTGTAACCCCAGGGTCAAAGCCACAGACAGTTACGCATGTGTGACTCCAGGATCGAGCCATAGACAGTCAACACAACCTCAGTATGAAATAGCTCCAAAGTCAAGTCATAGGTAGCCTACATACTATGATCACTGGCCAAGATTCTCATAACATATATTATCAGTGCATCATCATAACATCAAGAATCATATAACATCTATATCAATGTGAATGAATGCACATATACATTATACCACATACTTTCATACAATACAACCATAATGCCCACCATCATGGTGGGGCCACAAGAGAGAGGAGCAACTAGAACTAGGAGCTTACCTCACTGAGCTTATCATAAGCCCAACTCCAACAGTAAAACACGTATGATCCAATAAACCCTTTAGTGCCAAGTCCTCTAGGCAAACCTAGAGCAGGAATCATTTACATCATTAATACTCAATCACTTAATGATTCCACATTTCATTCTTACATGCCAATAATATGCCCATTACAAGTCTAGACCAATTATTACATAATTACGTATAGTGCATTATTACAAGCAACCTCAATCTTCAGTCACTTATATAACTTAAAATCACATTCTAGGCTCACTTAGGTAAGGCCGAAATACATGCATAGGTGTTGCTTAGGTTGGATCTTCCATTTTGAAGCTTAATTCAAGACTAGTTCCACAACTAATCACTTCACTAATTATTCTTGACTTGATCAATGGACCAACACAATTTTCATCACTTACTTGCCCTATTATGGGTTCCAACTGAGGCATTAACATGGTCCCATGGTGTTCAATTTAAAGGCTAACTCACTCTTGGTTCCTTGGATGCTTAGTTCATTCTTAATTCTTTCTAAGTTAAGCTCCATTTTTACATATTCCTTAATTATGCTAAGTATACCTCCTCTAGGTAATTTACTTATTAACTTAGGCATATTAACACATTGATATTCTAAGACTATAGCTTGCTATTCCAAGTTACAAGTTGATTAAAGCCTTAGACACATAATCAAACCTTAATCCATCATTCTTTAAATTTTTCAACCCTAACCCTAATTATACCCTATATGGCCGAACCATATACATACCCTAACCTAGGATTTGCTTCCATTAATTCACATGGTCATGTGTCCATAAATCCATCCTAAGCTTAAGTTACCATTTAGTTCCTTAATTAGGTTTAATTAACAAACCCTATTAGGTTTAGTTAGAAACCCTAGGTTACTTTAATTTTAGGGTTTATCCTTAATTAGGTTCATTATAAAATTCCACTTAGTCATATTATGTCATGGTACCTCAAGTTCACTAATTGCATGATTAGTGCTCCTAAACCCTAATTAAGTCCAACTTTATGGTTTAATAATTAATTAGTGTATTATGCATAGTCCACCTCACTTAACCACTAAATTAGTATCCTAATTAGGTCTTATTATTAATTTTAACATAGTGACCCTAATTTAATAAGATATGGCTGAATTGCATAGGGTTATAGTTTAGGATTTTTAACTTGTTTCTTTGTCATTTCTTTAGTTAATTAGTACCTACACTTAATTAATCCACTAATCCATTATTTCCTTATTTTAACACAACTAATCCACCTTATATTCATGAGGGCAGATTTGATTAGTTAGGGTTATTAGGGTTTTTAGCCATCCTTAATCAAGATTAGTAAGTTTCACTTAGAGATAACCCACTTAGTTAATTTTTCTTAGTTCCTCTTAGGATTTTTCCACACTTAATGATGGATTTAGGAGCCACCTCTTAACATTTTTTTTTAGTCATCAAACCCTACTTTTCCATGGAATGGCCGAACCTCCATGTGTCTCTTTTAGGGTTCAAGTTCATCCTTTTACATGAAATTCACACAAGGATCCCAAGGTTGGACCTTTACACATCAAATCAACCATTTCTTGGTTCATAACACAAAAACCCTCAAGAACAACCATCAAAACCTTTTCTTTAAAATTTTCAACAATATTTTCCCCACCCACAAGACAAAAACCAAGAATGGAAATGAGGATAGGAAGGATTTTGGGTCATCTTTTCTCAAAGTGATGCTTACATCTTCAAGCTGACACCTTTTAGCTCCAAGCTTCACTTTCACCAACAAGAATGCTCCTTTAAACAAGAACACACATTCAAAAATATGGTCAAGAGTTAGAGCTCAAGAACACAAGCAAGGAAGATGAGTTTTTTCAAGAAAAAATCAAGGAAACTTACACTAAAACTCAAGAAAATCAAGCATACACGTGATGTTCTTCAAGAGAACTCAAGAACACAACTTCATGGCTCCATGGAGCTCCAAAACTGTGGCTGGACATGTGGAAGAGGAACACAAAAATCTTGCTTCACACCATAAAATTTGGATGGTTGTGAAGAGGAGAGTGAGGGGAACAATCTTTGTGAAGGAGGTTTGGTGATTTGGTGAGGTTTAGGAGGAGAGATTCTAGAGAGAAGTGAGAGCAAAGTTTGAAACTTGAAATTTAAAGAGAGGGAGGGAGGGGGCGGCAGAATTATGAATGGTGAGGGAGGGGATGATGCCCTAATTAGCGTTGCCATGTCACTTTAGTGGCACTTTGTCCTCAAGTGAAACCCGGTGTAATTTTTATCTGAACCGTCATCAAATTTTTACCTGGAAACACCCAAGACTCTAACTTTAATTAACTAACATTAATTTGGTCTAATTATCAAGTTCATAACTTAAAAATTTGATTAGTAGATCATAGATCCACTAATAGCTATTTAATTGCACTGTAGTCTTTACCAGTGTTCTTAACGGTACCCGGATTTCATAATCTTCTTAACTTTAACGTCATTGGTCTACTTATGAATTGTTAGGCATATATTGGTCTTTATTTACCTTTTCTCATCTTTTCCCGTTCAGAAATTCTATCGGCTGCTTCTACAGCGTTACAAAATACCCGACAGAAGTGACTTTTTCAAAATACCACAATATAGGTACCGAACTTCATCAAATCATATACTAACCTTATCTATGATAATCGTATCATCAAAATAGCTCTCTAACTATAATTTGCTAACTTGGAGCTATTCTGCTGACTGTTACTGCGTCAGCAGTCAAAAATAACAGATGAAAATTCACCTGTGTAAAATACCCTCAATATGGATATCAGAATGTGACCAATCGTTACAGCCTACCATCCACAATCGGATGGGCAATCGAAGGTGACCAATCGTTACTTGGAGCAATACATACAGGCATTTTGTCATGATGAAAATCATAGGTGGGAAGAGTATTTAGGATGGGCAGAATATCATTATAATACTGCTAATCACTCCTCCATTGGGATGACTCCATTCCAAGCTTTGTATGGCAAGGTCCCATTGATGATTCCACCTTATCCCAAGGGTTCTGTTAGAGTAGAAGTAGTGGCTGTTGTAACACCCCGTGTATACCCGGTTTGTTATTATGTCATCGTATTAAGCTTTGCTTAATTAAAATACGGAATAAACTTTTTCTTTTCAATTATGACGTCATTAACATTAATCAAGTTGATTACTTAATTCTTTTTCATAAAACATTGCATGTATGTAAATTGCAAATAAA